TGCATTTTGCCTGCAGGTCTTTTACATTTCAATATGACAGGATGGTCTTCTGCTATTATAATTCTAATTGGGATGTAATAAGGTTGTAAACGTGGTGATTGAACAAATCCTCCTTGTGTGCAGGTTATTTGAGCACTCTGCCATTTGTGTTGGCTGATTGCTAATTTATGAACCCAGGTGCTGCTGGAATCTCCCGGGTTTGATGACTTAGATCTTTGCGTAATTTATCGTGCATTGTTTTTCATTTGGTCACTTGATCAATTGGATGACATGGCTCCGTACAGTAAATGGAGACTGGGAGGGGCCACTCAGGATGTAATCTGGTGCTGTTATTACCTGCACTAAAGGAGGAGGCTGGCACAGTTAGAGACGGATGAGGACGTCAGATCTCTTGAGAAATTACTTTTTGTTTGCATATCAGGCACTTAGTTACTGAATTTTCATCCCAGAGACTCAAGGGAATTCATTGTCACCAGCGGCTTTCCACAGCCTTGATAACCTTATTGCATTCACAGCTATGACTCTCAGTTTGATGCCTGAATTTGAAGAACACTGAGACTTAAATGAATTTAATATTTGAAGTACAAAGCAAACAAAAAATGTGAATCTGCAGCCATGACTACATCAAAGCCGTATATATTTATATTGTATGATTTATATTTCCATATGTAGGGTGAATCATGTTAAAACATTAAAGTTGGCACATTTATGGGGCTTTTGACACTTAACTGACAGGACTGTTGACAAATGTTATACAGTAATTTGTTGGAGTGCATCTGTGTGAGAGGAACAAAGACAACTACAAAGTCCCAGTCAATGCTCAATGTAGATTCAACATGTGCATTTGATATTATCTAGGGCGCCGATGAAAAACTATTTTATTATATATTCATTTTTGCTCTATTTTTACCATCAGTGTCTATAAAAATGTCAGAAAACACTGATGAATGCCCATCACAGTTTACCAGACTCGCAAGATATTGTCTGTTTTGGCCTGAATGGCATAAAATCTAAACGATATTCAGTTGCTTGAATTAGAGTATTTTTGTTCGTTTATTTATTTTTGGCATTTTATTTGTAGTAAGCTGGGTTACTGGGGGAGACACCCAGACACTACTGCCCAGCATAGAGTGCTCAAAGCCCGGCCACAGCACCACCAAGCCCAGGGCAGACACCCAGGGAGGCATGCACTGCTCCACAAAGTCCACCCGTAGAGTTAATTTTGGGCTTTTCATTCATGTTTGGACCTTAAAAAGGGAACTTTTAAAAAAAGCTGTCAGTAATTTAATGCTCCTGTCTGTGTCTATCATTCATGCTTTGCACTGCGCTGACCAATTCGAGCCAAAAAGAGCGCACCCCGCCATCTCCTCCAGCTATCCATACATTGTCTCAGTTTACAAATTCAGTTGTTTTTACCCAGTCTGAGTTTACACATTTCTTCGATGACAGTTTGTGTGTGTGTGTGTGTCCACAATCGTTTCTGCCATATAGCTCAGTGGTTGTGTTCAGACTGTAGTGAAATATGTCACAGTCAAGAGAGGAGGTTGCTGAAGGGGCACATCAGTCAGATAATGTCAGTGAATCTTGGCTTTTCTCCTCCTTGTCCATTTTGTTCTGCTACGCTGGTGGACTGCACTGTTCCATATTTAACAGACAGTGGTGTTAGACTGACCCAATCCAGCTTCACTCCGCTCTCAGCTGGTGTGCAAAGTGGCATCGATACCTCCACTTTACAGCTGGGAAAGACATGGAGGAGTCATTACCTCACTGCTTGAGCGGTCATCTCAGATCCACCTTCTCTGTCCTGCAATTTTCAGCTGTTTTGTCGAGCTGAATAGAGGCAGGAACACTGCACTGTATGATACAGTCTGTACATCAGACATCATCTGTTTGTTTGTCTATTTGTCAGCAGGATTACTCAAAAACTGATTTATATCAAATTTAGGGATTGGCAATGAGTTAGAGAAGAACTAGTTAATTTCTAGGATCCAGGATTTCTTTTCCACTTAACATTTCAACACATGGTTGAGTTATTTTTTTTTTGTGAAATTTGTTGGAAAATTTCAAACTACTTGTTTGACTTTTAACACAGGCATGTCAGTGTTTGGCCTTGTTGGAGGCAAGCGCTCTGTGTTCCCGTTGTATTGTTGTTGTTTTATTAACTTAATTGTTTTGTCAGTTTAATACCAAAAGACCCAAACTGCACAAATTGAAAAGTAATTTGAAAATTCAAGTCAAAATTATTTCTCAATTTAAAATAATTTTGGTCAATCGAAGCTGATCTTTTTAGTATAAAGTGTTTCCAGTAGTAACTGTGACTGTGCTATGAATTGAGAATAAGACTGAGGCAGCACAAAAAATGATCAGTGGAAAACCAGAGAAGAAGCTGTGGTCTAGGTTATATTGGTGGAATGCTGGTGCGGTGATTCTACATTTACCTAGACCTAGCAGGAATAAACCAAACAAAGAGGAACTGGTGTGTAGCTGCCGTTGTTGTTCCTGGTGCATGCTCATTACACAAAGCAACAGTGGGCATGTGTGTTTGCTAAAACCTCCCATTAACCTTCACACACGGATACAAAGAAACTGGAGTTTTTGAAAATTTGCAAAAAAGATTTTTGTCTTGCAAACTCTGCATTAGTGTGGACGGAGCATGAGTCTGAATATTTATTTTGTAGTTATATTTACTCATTTCCACCCGCATAGGCAGTAAAATCATAAATAACAATGTTTCCTGCTGTGGGTGACATGTTGAGCTGAGTTAATAAAAGTAGTGATTTCTGTCTTTGAGAAGTAACAGAAATGACAGTTTGTCAACACCAAAGCACGTGAACAGGAAGAGGTGGAAGAAAGAAGTCGATGTCGGATGAGAGGCGATCGAAGAAACAGACAGTGGAAGAAAGAGAGACGAGCTTCTGCTTCATTTTTTATTTTATCTCAAAGCCGCTGCGCTTGAGGGAAAGAACTGCATCTTCACTCTCCAATAGTAAATGTAATCCATAACTGTGATTGCAGGCTCGTGCTTGGATTGAGGTTACATGATATGCATGAACATATAGAGCAGAGTGGAACTGAAGTGTTGCTCCAAAGTTTCATCAAAGCTCTACAGTGTCCACAATGTTATTCATGGCGTATTGAATCCATATTTTCTACTCAAACACTCGGTCAGCAATCTCTCCAGCTTCCCCTGCTCATTAAGTTTGAAAGAACATTGTTGTTAGCCTATGTAAATGAGACCCGGTGTTCCCATGTCAACCAAGAGGAGATTTTGGAGGGAGCTGTGAGGAGAAATGACTTGTTTCTTGAGGGTGGTTGCTTGTGCAGGTCTGAGTTTCCTTATGTGAAAGGGATCAAAGCAATCTTACTCAGCCCCCTTAAGAAAGATAGCTGTACGAACGTGGGAAATCAAATCTGCTTCAAAAGGGAACACCACTGGGAGCCGGAGAGATGAGACGGCAGTGAGAGAAAAGGAAACAGACGTTGAAAAGACTCTTGTTGCACAGTAAGAGTAGAGAACACGGCTTTTCCCCTTCCCGTCCGCAGAGTGTACATGCAAGATGACTTTTTTCAAGGTATATCGGTGTAACGATTTGTCTGAGTGTACTTCTGCGCAGATTTGGAAGAAAGCAAGCGAGTAGAACAAACTGCCACATGTGCGGGAGAGAAAACGAGTGGTAAAAGAGGTGGAAATCACTCTTGCAAATGAGCAAACACTGACAGTCTGAGTTGGAGATGGTGGTTTTGTCAAACACGCTTTGATATGATGGTGTTGATGCCTTGTGAGTCGCCTCCCGTCCCTTTAGCATATGCTATGAAAGCTGATTTCACAGCTTATCGCCTGCTCTGAGAATAAGCCTTGTGAGGAAGGTGTGACATCAAATAGCTCAGACAGATAGAAGCCAGAAACCCCTCTATTCCTCATAGTGACACGTCGCCCTCCTCCAGCTCTGACTGGAGGGTTTAGATGTGTGCGCGATGCACAACAAGGACTGCTCCACATGCAATCTGGACGCACTGCTTTCCCTGTAATTTCCACCAGATCCTCAAAGGTGTATTTACTGTAAATCCTGCATGTGTATTACCATCATCATAATATAAGGAGCTGATATGACGCATGTGCTGCAGTTTGCTCTTACACTCTGGTGATGGTGGCTTGTGATTTCCAATAAAAGGTAACAAGGATGTTTTGTTCACTTTTCTGTGCCATGTTACCCCATTAAATTCCACATGACATCTATTATCTGTTGTGTGTGGAAAACATTCACCCCCTGCAGACCTGGATAGGTGCTTTCAAAAGTTTGTAGTTTGCTCTGTCAACACAATAATGAGTTGTTGAGCTTAGATTTGACTGCAGAATAGATGCCATTAGTCATCAGTAGTTAGAACTAGGCTAATCCCTTTTCCTGAGTATATTAAAACATGTTTGTGTTTAGTCATGCTTCCACCAGAACTAAGTGTGCAGCTTTTGTTCGGAGCCTCGTGCACGACCCCTGCTTGCAGATCCACGTGTTAACATCAAACATTCGTGCATTGTCTGGTTAGGAGAGAGAAAAAAAATTGTGCCACATGCTCTGAAGCCTCCAACGAAAAGTCAGGGGAGGTTTCACCTAAAATAAATTGTAAATATAATTACAGTAGAAATAGATTTTACACATGGGTAATTATGAATAACTGATCTCAAACCCATGAGACAATATGAATGAACTAATAGCTGTAATTCCATTTGAGTCTACTTGTTTAATAAATCAAAGTATTGCTGCATTGTTCATTGATTTTGGAGTATAATCCAAAAATGACGACATAAATTCAGATTGTTTCTGATAATCCAGCGGATTATGTTATTTACTGTTTGGAAAATTTGATTGCAAGACTAATGTGTATTTCAAAAAACCCTTACCTGATGACCGTGCTGTAGGGGGTCACAGCTGTGCATGCCTGCAGGGCCATGGGGCTCACTGAGACCTGAGTGAAAAATCCTCTCTCCCGTTTATTTTGTCCAGGTGGGCAGGCAGTAAGGCTTGACAGAAGATGCGACGGGGGTGGTGGCTCGTCAGATGGCTGGGGACAGGAATGGCAATCCTCTCTTTGCTAACCCACAGCTGGGGCCAGGACACAGAAGGTATGAGCACAGCACACAGCACTGACACCAACACCCTCAGGTCTCCCTTTTGTCAACTCACCGTAGCGGCAGTGCCAAGAGGAAACTTGTAATGTGGACAGGGCAATGTTTCTTCTCCCTCACAGAGGAGCAACTCTGTGTTAAAGAAACTTTTGCTTCATAGTATTACACTATTCTGATAAATAACGCGCCAAACCGAGGTGTCTTCAAAGTGTTGCAAAAGAGGCCAGAGGTAGAATTCATTTTTGAAATATTTTAAATTGTGTAGTCATTAGGGTTGGACAATACGGCAATCCATATTTAGGATCAGCACAATAAATATTTATACCTCCTCACTTGCAGAATGCATAAGCAAAATATATTTCTCTCTCTGTCTCTAAATATATACATTTTTATCATATTGCTATTGATGAAAATGTAATTATTGATAACATTTTACTGCCCAGCCGTACTAGATTTACAGTTTTTTATGTATTCATAGGACGTATAAATGCTTATTGTCTCAGGGGCAGATACTGCTGTATTTATTTTTTTGCTGGAAATAAATATATAATTATTCTAAGCTTGTTTGAAGTACACATTGTACTTGAACAATGAACAATTTTCAGAATATAGCCTATTCAATGACATAAATGTGCATCTTACTGAATCAGGATTTTTTTAATCTCAATTTGTGTAGTGGTTTGTGTCTTGTTAATTGTATGTTTGACATCGAGGAGGAGGACTGTGCCACAATTTCGATGTGCTAGTGTACGAAGTACGACCTTGCAATAACAATACAGTCTTTTGAATTGAATTGAATTTGAATTGGACATATAATTGTCCCCTCTCTGTAAGTGGTGACCCCTTTATGGTCCCTGATTCAGACAAATTCTAGATCCACCCCTCTTTCATCTGCAAGTTCATACAAATGGACATTTTCTGTTTATATACTGCTGACAGCCAATTCACATTATAGTCTATAATATATAATATAATATAAGTCTATATTGCCAATATTTGCAGTGAGAGAAATTAGTGTTAAATGTTGAAGACAGCACACAGAACCTTTCCTGACCAAAGTTTAATTTGGACCATCGCTCTCTCGAGAGCTGCTCAACATTAGTTCTTCAGTGCAAATAACTTTGCTCTCACAGTATATTCTAACTATCCTCCCTTTCAAATTTGCATAATATGTATTTTTTCTGAAAGACATTATTTAGAGCGAGGGCATAAATCCAGCTTTCTTCCTACACAGTTCAGTGATTGTGCTAAGAGGATTCTCTTTGTAGTTTCATGTTTAAGTTCCCACATTACAGAGGGGATCGTGCATTCATAGTCCAGACTCACCGACTTCATAGCAGATGCCAGTTAAAAGTGAATTTCCGTCTGTATAAGACTGGCAGGTCTTTAAACATGGTGCCGAGACAAGCCTTAATTCCCCCCCGAGCAGCAATATTATACATGATTCAGGTCAATTTTAAGATGCTTTCTTTTCAGAGGCTTGTTGTCTTTATCCAAAACCTGTTTCCTTCTTTCTTTCTGTGCATTTCCTGCTTCCCAGCGTTCCTTGACAAGCTCACTGATGTAAAAGCATTTTAGATATCTGCATCATACTTACTGTCAATTGAACTGCGATGTTTAGTTTCAGAGGATTTGTATGATATCATTAAGTAGAGAAACGGCTCGATGTTTGACTAACTGAGCCTTTGAAAGGGAACGGTTGCCTCGTGGTTTCCTCTTCAGATGAAGTTTCTCTCCCAGGCTCTGAGCACATTAATAGACAAGTAGTGTTGTGTGGTGTGAGGAAACCATTGACCCAAAACATAACAGCTGTGGAACTCAAGAGCAGCCCTGTGGAATATGTCCTATTCAACTTCCAGCAGCTTTGGTACGCAAAGATATTATTCATTTTTAAGTGTCTATTCATCAAAGCTTCAAATGCTGCTGGGAGACATACAGGTCAAATTGTCAAGATTAATTAGGTTCACTAACCTTGAGGTAAAATGAATGTAAACGCGCTGATGCCACAGTGTTTTCCTGCGCTTCTCTCTAACATTAAGAGATCAGAACGACAGCATATTTACAAGTGCAGGGGGAATATTAACATGGAGCCTGTGAAAGGATTTTAATGCAGAGACGTTATAACTTCAGTAATTATGTCTACACCAAGGATGTTGTGTTTTCACCCTCGTCCATTGGTTTTTATGTTTTTTTGAGTTGTAAGCATTTTCAGATTCAGATTTCACTAAAGGAACTGGAGGTGTTTTTTTTCTGTGATTTCAGCCTCATTTTAAAATGTTTTGTTTTATCTTGTCTTCTCATCTGTAACATTATTTTAAATTGTTTTTTTATTTAAATTTAAACCTTATTATTTGCTTTTTAAACAGTTTCCATTTTTCATTTTTGTRAAACACTGTTATTGTGTTATGAAAGGTGATATATAACAAAGGTTTATTATTATTGTCTTTGAGATTGTGACATTTGGTGCAGCTTGATTTAATTGAAGGGGGGAATGCCATTTTAAGTTAATTTAAAGTTCCTGTTTGCATTTTATTATCATATCATATGTTTTTTTTTAAAACCACACATCCTCCCATACATTTTCAGAATCTGTTAAATGGGTAAATTATCAAGTTGCCTCCGTTCGTCTTCCTCAATGTTCAAATCCAACCCTGTCTGAGAGAAATCATGTTTATGTATCGCTAATTTGTTTTGTCAGTTGTGTTTTGAGGGGAAATGTAATTGCTTCCTGGATTATGTTCCCTGGCACTGTTTCTCCTGGTGTAGGAAGGAAGCGCTGCAGTTATGCACTGCACACCAGTTGTAGGAGGTCAGCGTGGTTGAAAGCGCAGGATTAGAACCTCAGGAAACCAGGGAATTTGCATCCAGTCCTAGCGTGAGTGTGGTCGTGGTTTTAAGCAACAAAAGCACTTCTGACGAGATTAAACATGTGTTGTGATTAAAGATAGTTTTGATGTTTAAATCACAAACACCTACCCTCACCAAGTGTGGGTGCCTTAAAATAACCATACAAATGTAAGATTAGTGTTTTACAACAAGTGCATTGTGTTGATCAATGAAGTTCTATCTAATCTTAAAATTGTATTAGTGAATATTGCAGGAAAAGTGGTCAGTGAAAGTAAGTGTAAACATTCTGACACATGGTCAATATTTGACTTAATAGAAAATGTCATGAAGGCAGTATTGTGTTTCTTCAAAATATATATTTTTTCAGTTTGGTTTTTTGAAGTTGTTAAAGTCGTTCACACGTTTTTGAATGCCATCCCACATAAATGTTTTATGACTAATTAAAAATAACAGCATGATACTAAATAATTGTGTAATTGTACCTGCTCAAACATCAGGGATGATGAATAATTGCCTTAATCGCATAATTTTGTTATAACTGCAATATCAATTTGGTATTACTACCAGTAAAATGACTGCAAGCTGCTTCTGCACCGTGTTGATCCAGACAAAGACCACCTCTATGGTCAAACGAAATTTTGGTTGATTGCTCCTGTTATTTTTTGGTTCGGGTTAAGCTGCGCCCTAATTCTGTCGATTTTTTCTTTTCACATTCCTCAGAGTAATTCCACAGTTACCGTTTTCTTTATCTCCACTTTTTTGACTGATTGCCTCCTTTTCTCCAGTGATTATGGATGGGGCTGCAGTCTGTAATTTTACTTGTTGCTGACAGAAATGATTATGTACGGTGGGACAGAGTGTATCAGCATTGTTGTGGTTTGAAGGGTGAGGGCACACGCAGGCACTGCTGTGTTGTTGCCTCCCTCCGCTGCTCGGTGTCACCCAGGGATGATCTCAGTTTGAGTGGGGATTTTCACCGCCCTCAACACCACATCTCTCATCTCCCCCCCCTCATAAATCTCCCCGCTCTTCTCACCTCAAGGCGCCCTTGGCTTTTGGCTCTGTCAACTTGTTTGTTGTCTGTCTATCAAATGAAAATAGCTGCTGGAAATTTTTTTGGATGGCACCGAGCTATGGAGGCAGTGTACGTCACAGTGTCTTTATTTAATTAGCAGGGAGACATTATGAACTTCATTCTTCTGATTAATGCGACTGTGGACACAGTGTGAGGAAACTGGGCTGACCTTGGGAAACGCTTGGCTTTCTTTAACTAATCAATTAGTTGATATCATTTTGAGAGGACATTTAATTATTTGGTGGAATTGTTCTGTCGGAGATTAATGCATTCATGGTAGGATCGACCCCCCCCCCCCCAAAACACACACACACACACACACCCCTACCTGATGCTGCTGTGATGTCGGCCAAATGGTCTCGTACTCAACAGAAAATGATTTTTGACTACATGTGCATGGAAATCCTGCTGTGCGCCTCATGTATGTAAATTGATCGCTGCGTGTGTGGAGACGAGCTCTCCCAGCAGTTTAACAAATGGTAATGAAAGGTCAAACTTCAATCTGAAGCGCAGCGGACAGATGCAGACTGCCCATATACCTCTAAATCCCCAGCCGCTAAATCCACGTCAGACAAATGTATGTATGCACAACACGCTCTGCTATATTAGTGTATGTGTGGTGAGGATAAGTTAATATGCCTGTGGACAATTCTGCCATGTGACATCAGCCTACCTTCCTGTCTCCACCGCAACTCTGTCCCCATGCCTGTCTCCCTCTTTCCCCCCTCGTCTCCCATCTGCACATCCATTTTGATCCTCGATTGTTTGTCTATTTTTAGGGATTGTCTGATTAGGGGCCAGATGTGCAGACTGCATCTGGCTGCAGCAGAGGCCTGTGGAGTGGGGGAGTAGTGGAGAGACAGCGGCAGGGGGTTTTAATCTGCTCACCGCTAGGCTGTAATCAGGCTCTGGGAGCATAAGAAGGGAGGAGGGGGCCAGTCTTGGCAGGACAGGACCCTGCGCTGCCTGGGATCATCGGGGCCCATCCTGGAACTCAGTGTGTGAGCGATGTGCATGCTGGACCATTGGCTGGAAGTGTGATTGCAACCTTTGCTCTCCTGCCTGTGTGGTTGAC